AGGAGGCTGACATCTTCCGACTTCGACGGTTGAGGTTTATTTTCAGGATTCCCCCTCCCATAGGCTGATTGCCTTCCAGGGCTTATGAGCTCTGCCTACCCACATTTTCTGTCGGGCTTTGTTGCCCTAGCCTTTGTTCTTACGGGAACTTCCCACAAGGCAGTGGTGGTTTGGCATTCGGTGTGTAATCAACAAAGCAACAAGTAAAGAAACCTGATATCCTCGAGTAACCAGCGGTAGAAAACATTGTCGTCATGTGTTTGAACTGGTAAGAGGTTTGATTTAAGCGATGAAAACCGATTCACTACGCAAAGTGTTTGCCTTGAAATAATCTTGGTTGTTATCCTATAATGGCACTAAAATTTATGGTTTGAAAATATATTATCTATATCTGCAATGTTGTCTCTAGTATTAACTTCAACTAAACAACCGAATCCACTGAATAGCCATTGGCCTAAATGTGTCTCAGGAAACAAAACAGTTTAGGTGGAAACTAGAAACCCTGGGGAAATTGGTACAAGAGGCAGTACAAGATAGGACAACGTGAAGGATGACAGCGGATGAATAGAACATGCCAGTCCAGAAACGGATAAACGTAGTTGCTGTTTCTGGTTTCTGTAAGACAAAACACCTACTGTGTAAAAATACAAGCTTTTGGGTCTACGACGTATTTTCCCTTTAGTTGGCTGTCATGTACAACTTCTTGTTCTGCTTTTCCTTTATGATAAACACAATTTCTTAAAACCGTTCCTACATGGCTCGCATTATTGCAAAACAGTTCACATAATCGCAACACGTATTCCTATTTTCTAGACAATAGTAACTTTCACTACCAATCGAATTCGGTAAGGACGTTGTATTACTTCTTCTTCTTTCGTTCGCTTGAATCATATTATCTATATCTCCAGTGTTATTTCCGATATAAACTTCACTGTCTGTTGTAATTCAATCAGCGACCCGTAAAGTTTGGCTTGCACCGGTGTTTTTCTTTGCCAAAAGTTTTGCCTTGAAATGTTGTTTTTGGGAAAGTCTTGGAGGACATGATCTTTTGTCTCAGGTGCTAATCCAGATGTATATGACAAATTCGTCAATCCTAAAATATGTGTACATATGGCTGCGAAGTCGATAGTCATCCAGTAACAGGCTACTCTTCTTCTTCTTATTACTTCGAAGTAACACTAGCTTGGAGTTATAACTTGTTATAGTTAAAAACTACCCGCGACCTAAAGAGTTAAAAATGTGGTATTAAGGAAGCCGTAATAGTTTAGTGGCTAGAAATTTGCCTGCTAGCTCGAAGGTACTAAGTGTGAATCCGAATCGAGGCATATTTTTTTCTTTTTAACACTGAAAGTGCTTTCTAAGTCGATGCAGTCTTACATTAGTACCAGATAATGTGCTGGGAAGTAAAGGCGACCGGCGTGATGTTGACGACATCACCCGCCGTGATTTCCAAATAATATGCCACAATTTGCCCGATTCGTCCATGTCCATTTTTGAAATTAAAAAAAAAATTTAAATTAAATTAAAAAGTCGACCGCATTCAACCTGTTCTGTCAACGGCTAAAAAAAATAAAGAAGAGTTCTGTATGTGCCCTTTAAACGAACACTCTGTTATACAGTATATTGTGACGCCTATGTATCTTTCCGGACCCCACCAATCGTTGATGACTTCATGGAAGAGCTCTGGCAACTTTGTCCCGCAATCCTACCAAAACTACAGTTAAAAGAAAAGTTGCCGGTAGAGCTGTATCATTTTCTACAAATTCAATACTTGGTAAGTATGTTATTATACTAGAAAATTAAAATTTGTAACCTGCAGTGTTTTGTCTCATATAATATAACAATCCACTTCATCTGTCATGAAGTCTTACAAAGGTATGTTTAACGGTTTCGCTGCCTGAGCTGCTAAGTTTAGTGCTTGGTGCAGCACTGTGAGCTGTGTCTTTCATGTAAAATACCGTTCATTTGTGCAGCAGCTGTGTCGTGGTATTTAGTATGACCGGTAGCCGTTTTTTTTTTAAAATGAGACAGTAAGGGACATTTCATTTGATTTTCACTGGCATAGGAAGGGATTAAATGTGGGGACACCTGACTGCAGAGAAGTTGAAACCTCGACTTAGACTAAGATATGTTAATTTTATACACTTTATTACTTGAAACCTATTCATCATCATCATCATCATCATCATCATTATCATCATCACCACTATCACAAACATAATTCTTATTTTGTTCCATTATGTCATTTATGGTTCCCAGTCTATTCCTGCTCTTCAGTCCAACAGCGTTGGTCTCTCTCTTGTAACCTTTTGATGCCAAATTATATCAACCCTGGCGTTTCTTTTGGAGTAAACAAGGCAGGCCGAAGGCCAGATCTTGAATGAACACCACATTGTCTCTACAATACAGAACAAGCTTCGTGCAATAGGTCTTGCTAACCACACTCGCTATCGCCACGGATGAGATTCACATGTCTCCTTACAGCATAATTTAATAATATCGTCTGGAAAGACTATACGGTGGCAACAACAACGTGCAAGCTGAAGGGTTATAGGTGCTTTATTAAAATCCTACTCCAAACAACGGAAATCCACAGGTCAAGGACAGTCTAATATTTCAGGGGGTGGTAGACAGGCTGCATGCAGTCGTGGGACCTAGGCTGCATGTATTCATGGGACCTAGGCTGCATGTATTCATGGGGATCTAGGCTGCAAATTATGGCCGAAGGTACCATTTAAAGTGATACCTCCCTCTTGTTCTGAGGTCGAAGAAGTTGTAAAAAGAGCTAGCGGCAAGTCCGCCCCGTACGTCGTGTACAAGTGTCCGAAAATCCTCAGAATGCTTCTCCGCTTGCTGAGATTAGCGTGGAGCAGAAATCACATATGTTCCGAGTGGCAACGGGCCAACGGGGTCTACATTTCTAAGTAGCGAGACTCCGCGAGTCTATCCTAATTCAGGCCTATTTCGCTGTTGAATGTTGAGGGCAAAATATTCTTCTCGGTTATGGCTCACGGGCTCACACAGTATCTGACGGCGAACAAATACATCGATACGAGTGTTCAGAAAGATTGAATCCCGGGCGTCCCTGGGTGCCTTGAACCCGCCACCATGATCTGGGAATTTATTAAGAGAACCAAGCATGAGAGAACTCAGTTGCACGTTATATGGTTGGACCTCGCCAACGCCTACGGGGCAGATCCCCATAAGCTACTGTGGCAGGCTCTTCGCATGTGTCACGTACCAACACAGACCAACGAAATGATCGAGCAATATTTTTCAAAGTCCCCTTTGTTCTTCTCTACCCCGACGTTTACTACGAGATGGACTGAGCTCCAGGTTTGGATAGCTATGGGATGTACGATCTCGCCAACACTGTTCATTATGGCCAAGCAGGTCATGTTAGACAGGGCGCCGGCTACGGACAGGACCCTCAGATTGGGGACCACTGGATGCCGCCACTACGTGCATTTATGGATGACACGACTATAATCACAGGCAGTGAGGAGTCTGCCCGCACAATTCTGAAAAGATTGGACGAGGTAGTCCAATGGAGCGGTATGCAATTCAAACCGCAGAAGTCGAGGAGTCTGTCAATCCTAAAAGGTAAGCAGGCGGTGATCAGTTTTACGGTGGCAAGGAATCGGATCCCCACGTTTCTAGAGGAACCGGTGAAGAGCCTTGGTCGCGTTTACGATTTGAAGTTATCTGATAGAGCGGAGGTCCGGCGAATACACGAGTCACTGGCTACAGGCCTGCTCGCGATCGAGCGTAGTAGGCTGATCGGAAAGTTTAAGGTCTGGTGTCTCCAATTTATGTTGATCCCAAAGCTCCTCTGGTCGCTGCTCGTCTACGAAGTGACGAAGACAGCAGTGGAGACAGTGGAGCGTAAAATCAACACAGCCATGAGTAAATGGTTGTTAGTACCACCTTGTCTGACTGATGTGGCTCTGTATTGTAAACAGACGAAGCTGGTACTACCGTTCAAACCAATAATCGAAGAGTTTATAGTTAGCAAAGTAAGACTCGACATGATGTTGCAAGAGTCTTCAGACCCCACTGTCACTGCTTTCCAGCCCGCTCTAAAGACAAGCGTCAAATGGAAGGTCCTAGATGCGATTGAATCTGCCCACGATGCACTAAAATTGAGAGAGGTGATGGGTTACACTCAAACTGACCGTCGAAGCCTAGGGCACGGAAAAGTCAGTTGGTGGTCCAAAGCCACAGCCAAAGAGCGCCGTGACATGGTGATACATTAGGGACACCGAAAACGAGGTTCGGGTTCAAAAAGCCGCGCAACAGTCGCAGCAAGGTCAGTGGGTCGGTCTCGTTTCCACTTCTACGTACAATTAAACAACAGGGCTTGCGAGGAAATGAGCGCAAACGAGCACTAAAACAAGTGGGCGAGCTTGCAGAGAGGGCCTCGAGCTGGCTCTGGACACGGATCGTGGGGGATGGGCCTCTGTGAGTTGGTCCGGGTATCTAGTGGAAAAGAAAATCTTATCCCTTAAAGTACATCATGTCCGAACTGTCTGCCTGTGTCCCTCTACCATCTGCCAACAAAGTCTAACATGTGTCCGATAAACCTACCGTAAGCTTGCCACTTGGTCGTCCCGGTAAGCCGATTGCTCTAATTATGCTTCCGCAGCGACTATGTAAATACACTTCGAATCTCACAGTACATTTTGCACAGTCACCAATTTAGTCTTGTCCCTGTCCGAGAACATCCGGTAATACGTGCAGCAGGAGCAGATCAACCCTGAGCTTCATGAACTAAGGTGGGCCCACTTTCTGAAAATGTCTAGGAGCTCGTGGACCGAAACATTTGTCGACGAGAGATCACTTCTACTGATGATTGGTAGACTCCTGCTGTACATGCTCCCCTGTGGAGTTTCTTCTTATTCTTATTATAGCACTGTTATGCATATTTTAAACATGTTTATAAAATTTGTAAATGTTTATTTATTTATCATATTTCTCAAACAGGTTCTTGAATCTTGAACATGAACGACCTACAATGGTCTTTACAGTTCAGCTCAGTGAGTTCAGTACTGAAAAGGTCACTGCTATGCTTGGCACTCATATTGGCATTGTATCCGTTATTAAGTCAACAAGAGCTTACAGCACATTCCATAACAAGCTCAAGAGGCACAAGCAAAATGCATGAGGCCTTAGCTCTGTTACCCCAAGGAAGTTCCGTTTCTGGGTCTTTTCAACCTCAGATGTCTGCTTTGACCAACGGCAATGTCACTTTGGAAAGCATCAGCGAACGGTTGGCTCGTATGGACGACAGCTTGGCGGGTCTCATCCAGGGGGTTCTGACTGTCCAAAGAACGGTGTTTAATCTGGAACAGCTTCAGGAGCTGCTGGTCCTTCTACTGGAAGATATTCTCAAACAGGTATGTCTGTCTGAAAAATCTTAGTCTTAGTCGAGGTTTCAATATCACAGCAATCGGGTTTCAATATCACAGCAATAGGGTTTCAATATCACAGCAATCGGGTTTCAATATCACAGCAATAGGGTTTCAATATCACAGCAATCGGGTTTCAATATCACAGCAATAGGGTTTCAATATCACAGCAATCGGGTTTCAATATCACATCAATAGGGTTTCAATATCACAGCAATAGGGTTTCAATATCACAGCAATAGGGTTTCAATATCACATCAATAGGGTTTCAATATCACAACAATAGGGTTTGAATATCACAGCAATCGGGTTTTAATATCACAGCAATAGGGTTTCAATATCACATCAATAGGGTTTCAATATCGCAGCAATAGGGTTTCAATATCACAGCAATAGGGTTTCAATATCACAGCAATAGGGTTTCAACAACACAGCAATCGGGTTTCCCCACGCTTGATCCGTTCCTGTGCCAGTGAAAATCAAATGAAATGTCTCTCACTGTCGCATTTGAAACACTGGTGAACAAACAATTAGTTCCTGAACAATTAGCAAATATGCGCACAGGGTAAATGTAAATTTCAGTTGCTAGAGGTGCCTATGCCAACAGTCGCCACTGGAAATGCCAATTGTCGTTGATGGAAACATGACATTGCTCGGTCAAGAAATAAAGTTTCTTTGTAAGCGTCAGGGCTTCAGCATAACTACTATAGGTTGATCAGGGCTTGTATGATTTGTACATGTTTGATTCTCATTCTTAAGGTGTTAATCCTGCAAAATGAATTTCTGAAGGTGACACACTACCCACATATCTCCCTGAATCCATAAAAGGGTTGGCTGGTTGCGAGCCGACATCGAAGCATACAAGTGAGAAAAGAAGAAAAACAAAAAGGACTAGGCAGCTCGATAACAGAAATGCGATAAAGCATTTCGAATAAAATCTCTCTCTCTCTCTCTCTCTCCCTCTCTCTCCCTCTCTTTTTCTCTCTTCCCCTCTCTCTCGTCCTTTCTCTCCCCTTCCCTCTAGTAATGTATGAATGCACACATTTATATAGGTGTCTGAAAGCAATATGAAAGACATTATTACACCTGGATTCGACCACCTATGCTCAACATATCTCTGCAAAGAGGTTCATTGCTTACTGAAAAGGTCTCACAAATCGCGTACGATAGATGACGTACACCCTGGGCGTAAACCCACTCTGAAAACTGTCTTTGCTGCCTACAGTGTTATCTATTTTAGAGTAGTCGGACAGGGGTTTTTGAGCCTGAGGATGTGAAGTATGTATGTATGCATGCCTGCTTGCCTGAATGCCTGCCTGCCTGCCTGCCTGCCTGCCTGCCTGGCTGGCTGGCTGGCTGGCTGGCTGTATGTATGTATGTATGTATGTAAGAAAATCATTTTCTTTGAAAAGTTCTGTGTTTAAGTGCATTAAAAATTTTTTTTTTAATTCAGACAGGTAGAGTGGATACAATTCCAACCAGGGGTACAACCCCAGCATTCGGCGACTCAAGTTTGCCAGTTGAGTCCGATGACAAAGACAGTGGAGATGTCACAAGCGCTGAAAGTGACGACGGTACAGAGAATGACAGAGTTACTGATAATCCCGAGGATAATGCTGGTGTGGATAAAGTTAATGGACGCGGTAATGAGCCAGCAATACGTACCAGTCTGGTATCAGGTCCTTTCGGAACGAGAAATGAACAGTTCGGCATGTCTGCATTAAGTCAGAATAGCAACGGGATTACTACAAGACAAAGCACTGATCCATATAAGACAGGAGGAGGAGAAGACAGCGCTGGCGACAGCAGCGAGGGGGGCAGAAGCAACAGCAACGAAGACTATACCGGCGGTTTCATGAGGGTTGTGCAACGAAAGTCACAAACTGCTAATATTCCGGTTCCTAATTTACAAAGACCTGAATGGTCAGAGCCAATTATGGAGCACGGGACTAGCGATCCTTCGAGATTCTTTGACGTCATCCATCGCATGGTTTCTCAGTTAAGTCAATCAGCTGCGAGAACATCGCCTAGACTTCTTGGGTTGATGCACGGAGATTCTGCCCCGCATCGGAAGACCTCTGAGTCAATGTTGGAACATGCTCCAATGTACGAACCTCTAGAAATTGTTTCAGCTCACGATACCACCTTCTTTAACGAGAAGAAGTCTGCTCCAAGGATGATGCCTATCAAAGTTAAACTTCTACCAGAGTCAGTTATTAGCCATGGCGGACCTCTAACCGGACCAGAGCAGTATTCTTCTCCATATTTGGAACATCTAGAAGAGCACCCGGGAGTTGAATCTAGTGGAGAAACTTCAAATGGAATGGTGAGAATATTGAAGATGCCATCCATCATCAACTAAACTCCATCCACCCATTCATCCATTTTAAAAATTAACCTTCTATCAGGTAACCGTCCTTCCTCCTTTCTGTCTTTCTGATCCATCCATCCAATCCACCCACCTACTTATTCATCCATCCATTCATCCATCCATTCATCCATCAACCCATCGATCCTTTCATTCATCCATCCATCCATCCATCCATCCATTTAACCATCTATCTATCTATCCATGTATCCAGTCATCCGTCCATCCATCCATCCATCCACCCATCCCTCTATCCATCCATTATAATCTGTTCTAATCTATTATCACGTACTTTCTGTCCGCCTGTCTGTCTATCCGCCCATCCGTCGGTCGGTTTCTTTCAAACCGTCCATTTTTACACATTTTTAGGGCGGCGTAAAAGGGAAATCTTGAGCCTGAGGATTTATGGCCTTGTGGCGAGTGTAGACATCACGAACATGCAGGTTAAGATTTTAAATTTCTTCCCAAAAAAAAAAAAACATTCACCACCTAACCGAGGATTCGAATCTTGGTCTCTTGAGGTAATCCCAGCATTCTTAACCGCTTGGGCAGCTGCATCTCGGTCTGCCTGTCTGCTGTGAAAAGTACTAAAAGAGAAAGACTGGAAAATACTGTAGTTGTAGATAAGTTTTAGTGGCGGATTCACTGACAGTGAAGCAACAAAGTATTGCCACTGATATCAAATGAAATCAAGCAATAATTAAACATTAATTAACGATTTTTCTTTGAGGAAACGTTTCTACCCACTACCAGACTTTTTCATCGTCTGTTTTACTTTTTTTTTAATTAAAGCATAGGATCATTCACTTGTCTTAAAGAAACGTATCCTTATTTCTTTCTGTTCACCTTCTGTATCCCCATATTATATGATTTCTTTCCTAATTTCTCTTCTCTAATTTTGTTTTTAAAGGTCTTGGTTCTAGTAAAAGGACAATATAGTTTAAATATATTTAATATAACCATGTTTTACCTCAGCCTGTATCCTTCTTTCTCAAAGTTAGCACCACTTTCACTTTTTCTACATCATATTTCGCACGAATTTGTTTAGTTCTTTCGTTAAGTCCGGAATTAGCAATTTTGCAATATAAGTTATTTCCCTTTAGTTTAGGCCCCCTTTTTCCAGATCTTTTGGCGTATTGGGAATTTAAAAAGTAAAAAGCAAAGATCCTTGTTCACGCCTTTAGGCGCATCAGGCTTATGGGAAGATCACACATATTTTTTAGACCAATCGGCACTAGGTGGGTAATGTGGTCAGCACTACGCCGGCCGTCTTTACTTCCCCATGACATACATCCTGGTACCCATTTTAGGCTGGGTCGACCTGCGACGCCCGATACCATGATAAAAATCCACGCAGCCAGCAGTGGGTTTCGATCGCGGTAAGTTGGATTACGAGTCGGACTCTCAACGCCTTAGCCACGGACGCCACTACTATTTGGAATATAGGACTAGACATATTTTTACAGGCCAACCGGCACTTGGTGGGTGATGTGGTTAGCGTCACGCCGGCCGCCTTTACTTTTCAGGACTGCACCTAGTACCCACTCAAAGCTGGGTCGACCTAGGAGTCTAGTTCATTTCTGAAAAAATCTGGCTCCATCTAGACGCGAACCCACGACCTTCCGATCCTTAGGCGGGCGTCTAGCCGCCAAAGTCACGGCGACTTCCTGTATTTTATGTAGTTACTAGTTAATGAATATCTGTAGTGATTCAGTAATCGTTTAGTCGTTTCCTATTCCCCTGACCTATACATCAATACTGCTTAACGTTCCTTGAATATGTTTTCTGTGGTGAATAAATATTTTCTTTGCTTTTAATTTCTTATTGATCTCCTTTCTGTTCACAGATAAGCAATCTTCTGCAGCCCTACTCCAATCACATTAGTGCAAACGACTCCCAAGTCGATACAAGCCAAGAAGATTATCATGGACACATACAAATAGAAGTCCCAGTGACAGATATTAGAAGGAAAAGGGAAGCATTTAACAAAGTTTCACTTAACAAGGATACCAGCGCTGACGCAGGAAATAGAGAGATCCATAATAGCTCCCGACGTAATGAAAGTCAACAAGGAAATATTAGCTTCATCGTGAAAAAAGGACCGTTATCAAGATATAAGGAAAGTTCAACAAACGTCAATAATTTAATGACAAGCGGAAACAAAAGTGAGTTACAATATCAAGCTGATAAAGAATATGACGGAAACATAAATTCTAGTCAAGGAATGGCACAAGAAGCCCTTGAACTAACAAGTAAGACAGGAGGTCCTGAGTACGATGGTCTTATTGCCAAGCTGTTGACGGACTTGAGTACACAGCTTCATAACATGCACACAGAAAGCCTCATTGGATCTGAGCATGTTTTCAGCCAAGCTCTGCATGAACTGGATAAACTAATATGGGTCTCAACTGAGAGTGTCAGCGATTCTTCTGTCACTTTTGAGTTGACAAACACATCTGCTGCGGACGAGGAAACAGAAGTAAGCGACGATGATCAGACAACTGCAGCAATAAAAGACATCATGCCACATACATTTGCTGTGGAAAGTAATACTTTACACGAAGGTTTCTCAGAACAGTCTGTGCATAGTAATGAAAGCAACAATTTGAGAACCAACAGTTTGTTTACCACAAAGGCAACTGAA